GGGACGAAGAGGGCGTCCTGGGCCTCGCCGTTGGGCGCCCGGGCTGTGACGCCGGAGAGCCGGCCGGCAGTCCAGGGGCGATGACGGCCTGACAGGGGGGAGGCCGAGGTCGGTGCTCACCTTCGGGCTCGGGGTCCCCCTCGGAACCTCGGCTGCCTTCTTTTTTATTTTGCGCTTATTTTTATTTTAAAGATGTGGGGTTCAGTTCAGGATTAGGTATACAAGTGATCATCTTACAGGTCAAGTTTAGGCTTCCCTTTGGTCCTCACTTGGCCTGGTTTGAGATCAAGTAACCTTACTGATGTTGTGTTCCCCCCACTCCCCCACCCCAGCAGTATACCGCTAATGCCAATTCCTTTGGTACAGTATTATGGCAAATGTTCAGGGTCCGCTTATGAGTGAGAACATGTGGTACTCTGTTCTTTGTTTCTGTGACAGCTCACTGAGTATTATAGATTCTAAATGCATTCAAGTTACTGTGAAGTCCATATGTTAATCTTTCTTTAGGGCTGTGTAATATTCCATTTCTATATACCACAATCCAGTCTTGATGGGCAGCAGGGTTGGTTCCATGTTTTTCTTATTGTGAATAGTACTGCAATAAACATGCGTTTGCAGATATCTTTTTTGTAGAATGATTTGAGTTTCTCCAGGTATATTCCCAGAAGTTGGGATTGCTGGGTCATATGGAAGGTCAAGGTCTAGCTCTTTTAGAAATCGCCACACTGTTTTCCAAAGAGGTGGCATTCGTTTGCATTTCCAACAGCATTTATAAAATCGGAGCTGTGGCACCTACTTCAGAGATGTCATAGGAGAATTAAATGTTAATTCCACGTAAAACCTTTACTTGGTCCCTAACACGCAGTGAGCTTCCAAGCAACGTTGATGCTGATGCACTGCAAGAGGTAAGGAGCCACAACCTACCTGATTGCTGGGGACCCAGTGAGTGCTTCACTCTCCCTCTGCCCACACCTCTGTGAGACATGGGGGAGACATGGAGTTGGTGGGGGGTGGTGAGCACTTTGCCCCTAGAGTTTGCACCTTCAGGCCCTGAGCAGTAGGGCCAGGTGTGGTGGCTCATGCCTGTAATCTCAGCAGTCTTTGAGGCCAAGGCGGGAGGATTGCTTAAGTTCAGGAGATCAAGACCATTTCCAGTGGGATTATTAGGACATTTCAACACCAGCCTGGGCAATATAATGAGACCTCATCTCTACCAAAAAAAAAAAATAAAAAATAGCCAGGTGTGGTTACACCCATCTGCAAAACAGAATGAGACCCTGACTCAAGGCAAACAAACAAAAAAACACTACAACTCTTAATTCCCCTTTGAATCAGACCTGTTGAAAGATTCAGGAACCTCTAAGATGCAGTCACCTTTCCCATTAGCTTGTAGGAAGCATGTAAACAATGCCAGCACTAAATCACAGTTCAGCAGAAGAATCAGCCTGCTGATCACACTCCTCAGAGGCTTTCAAAAGGGAGGCGTTTGCATGTTCAGAAAGGGTTTTAGGGTCTGGTGAACTTAGCTGCATGTTTGGGAAGAAAAGAAACTTTATGAAAATTTGCCAAAGGCAAAATAATGGGTCCTAGACTTGAGAAGGTGAGCTGGTTCAGAGCTAAGACATAGTAGGCACACAGTAAGTTTTGCCGAATACCATGTATTTGGGGCTTACTGCACGTATCAAATCTTCTTATATAAATCGGCTTTAAAGAGTTATTTCTTCAGAAGAAAAAGATTTTTTATTTTTTGAATTGAGGTCTCACTCTATCTCCCAGGCTGGAGTGCAGTGCTATGATCGTGGCTTACCGAAGTCCCAGCTTCTTGGACTCAGGAGATCTTTCCACCTTAGCCTCTTCAGGTAGCTGGGACTACAGGTATGCACCACCATGCTTGGCTAAGTTTTTAATTTCTTGTAGATACAGGGTCTTACTGTGTTGCCCAAGCTGGTGTTGAACTCTTGGGCTTAAGCAATCTTCCTGCCTCAGCCTCCCAAGGTGCTGGGATGTGAGCCACCATGCCAGGCCTAAGACAATTTCTGAAACAATAAAAATTACAAAATAAAAAGAGCAGGAACTGATTGGGAAAAATGTTTTGGAACCCAAATTCAATATTTCTAATAATCAAATGAAAAGTTTACTACAGCTACGCAGCATATGAATGGCAGTGTTGTAACCCTGCAATGTTACAGGGTTGATGCTCAAGGTCATGGTGGCCCTCCTCTCCAGTACGTGGTCCTGTTTGCCCATTCTCTTCTTCCTTCTTTTCTTTCCAATTTTATTTATGTTCAATTCATTCCAAAGTGATGACTTAGATAACCTTCAGATTGCATTTTCTGTATTTCTCTACGTCCTCCATGCTCCCAAGCTGTCTGACCCTATGAGAACTGGGTCTGTTCTAGAATTGGTATCCACAAGTGTTCATCAAAGTGAATAGAAGCACGAAGGCTTATGGGAATCTATAATATCAATTATGGAAGGCAAAGAGGGAATTTCCAACATTTATGGAAGTGGCAAAGAGGTGACAATTTATGGCCACATAGCATTTTATAAACATTTTTCTCAAAATTATAAACCTCAGATATCAAGAAGTTTCATCCAAAAAAGACAGTACTAAAGTGGATTTACACTGTGGCTGAAAGTCTGGCATTATGGCTTGTTTCTTCCCTTATAATTCTTTGTCCTCTGGTTATGTTTACATTTCCAGTGGGATTATTAGGACATTTAAAACAATTTTCACAAATAATTGATTTGGTTTTCAGTTGTGGAGCTGGGGGTGGGGAGTGGAAACTCATAAAGCAGGTGAAATTAGCATGTTCTTAATAGGACAACTTAGATTATAGATTTATTTGTAAAATGGTAAGTATTTATGAAAAGATGTCTCTAAAACCTGAGCTAAATGAAATCAGAGTCAAGGTATACAGCGTAGAGTTTAAAAGAGGATTCATTTGTTCATACATTCACAAATTTTTTTTTTTTTTTTTTTTGAGTTGAAGTCTCACTCTGTCGCCCAGACTGGAGTGCAGTGGCCACTCCCGGCCACCGCAGCCTCGACCTGCTGGGCTCCGGCGATCCTTCCGCCTCAGCCTTCCAAGTAGCTGGAACTACAGATGCGCGCTACCACGCCCGGCTAGTTTTTGATTTATTGTAGAGATGAGGTCTTGCCAAGTTGCCCAGGCGGGTCTCGAACCCGCAGGCTCAGGCAATCCACTCACCTCAGCCTCCCAAAGGCGCGGGATTACAGGCAGAGCCACTGAGCCTGGCTCATTTACAAATTTTTATTGAACAGCCTCTTCTCCCATAGGTTGGGTCTGTATGAGGTTCTCATTTTGATGAAATTCTTGTCCATTTCATCATTCTGATACATAAACTGTTCTAAGAGGAGCTGTACAAATGATTTTGCTTTTCCTAGTAGTAAATGTTTAGACAGTGTTAGCTACCGGTGTTCTCGAGGGGCTTAGATCAGAGTGATTCCCAAAGCAATGGCATCCTGTCCTTACTAACTTAAGGGGAGATTTACCAGAAAAGGGAACAGAGAGGAGGTGGGTGGGAGCTAAGTGGTTAAGCACATTCTAGTATCTTCCAGACAGCAGAATTATGTACTCTTCAATAAGCCCCCCTCTGCAACATTTTTAATTGCCCTACTTAAACCAGAGAATTCTAAAAATTTATAAAAATTCATATTGGTGCATTTATCTTCCCACTGTTATTATGTGTCATAGCTTCTGACAAAAGAGCTGATTGTTAGTTGGTATCTTAAATACTGGAGGAATAATAACTTGATATAGTAGATCAGTATTTGTGAGTTGGGTGATTTATAACCATGTTGCTTCTTTCAGCACAGTGCTTAAGAAAGAAGGTTGCTTTTCTGGTTCATTGAAAATTGTATGTGAACGCTCTGGTGAGTAAAAACACCTAATTTTTTTCCTTCGGTTTTTTCTTATGTCTTTATTTTATTATAGAGATGTGGGGTACAAGTCAGGGTTAGGTACTTTAGTAGTCTACGTGCAGGTGAAGTTTGGCTTCCAATTGGTTCTCACTTCCCCTGGTCTAGGACCAGGTATCCTTTGTGTTATTATATGCCCCCCCCCTTACTCCCCTGGCAGTGTCCTGTAACTGCTTATCCCTCCCTTGTGCTATAGTGATTAATGTTCAGATACCACTTATGTGTGAAGACACGTGGTATTCAGTTCCTTTTTTCTGTGATAGGTCACTAGGTAAGATGGTCTCCAGCGCCATCCAATTTATTGCAAAGTCCATGATTTTGTCCTTTATAGCTGCATAATACTCCGTCATGCATATGTACCACATTTTCTTTATCCAGTCCACTTTTGATGGGCAAAACACGCTTCTAAGAAGTTTTATTATTTTTTTATTTAAAAAAATGCCTTACATACAGTTTCAGTCAGGGTCTATTTTTAAAACTGCCTTTGTGCAAATTAGTTATTAATGAAAAATACAGTAATAATAACCTCTTGATCTCACCATGGTTTTTTTTTGTTGTTGTTGTTTGCTTGTTTGCTTTCCTGCCTCAGGTTTATTTTTACAAATAGCTCAGAAGGACACCAGCTCCACACGGACAGCAGCCTGGGGGTCAA